TTTATTTTTTCAAAATTAAAATTCTTGTCTGAAATTCTAGATACATTGGGCCAAAATCCTAAAGTGAAAATTTTGGAATATATAAATTCTTTAAATATTATAATATTTTTATATGAATTTTTAAATATCTATAAATATTATTTTAAATGTATTATTATTATTCATATTAATATAATAAAACAAACAAACAAACAAACCATGACCTAAAAATAACATAAATAAGATTCAATTATTTAAATTTTAATTTATTTTAAAGATTATTTAACAATAAGTTAAATTAAATCCAGTTAATCCTGCGTCATTTTACGTGCTACTTTACAAGCTATTTTTTTCTCTCTCTCTGTAAGTTCATGTTAAAGGAGAAATTGTGACTTTAGCATCAATGTTTAGCCCAAAACAATGTATTCCTGAATCTAATTTTTGCAGTCTTAAATGTAATTAATGTAGGATTAATGATGATTATTATTAAGAGTGTAACACAGCCCTTTTGTGGTAACATCTCTAATCTCTCTTTAGCACGGCGCAGACCCGTCTAAGAAGAACCGTGATGGCAACACTGCTCTGGACATGGTGAAGGATGGAGACACGGACATCCAGGACCTTCTGCGTGGAGACGCCGCCCTGCTGGATGCCGCCAAGAAGGGCTGTTTGGCCCGCGTGCAGAAACTCTGCAGCCCTGAGAATATCAACTGCAGAGACACACAGGGCAGGAACTCCACACCACTACACCTTGCAGGTAACGTACCATAAGCCATATTCCCACATTCATCATTCAATCCACGTTCATCACATCTGTCTGGTGGTTTAATGATGAATTCATTTGTTTTTGATCAGCTGGTTACAATAACCTGGAGGTGGCCGAGTATCTCCTGGAGCACGGAGCAGATGTGAACGCTCAGGATAAAGGAGGACTGATCCCTCTGCATAACGCTGCTTCATATGGGGTGAGAGGACAGGGAATGCTGCAAGGTTAAAGGTCTTAGTCTGGATAAATGACTTTATCTGTGAAGGATGGGTTTTGTAAAATAGAACATTACAAATCAGAAGGGATTCCAGAGAATTATACACTGCTGTTCAAAGGTTTGGGGTTGGTAAGATTTTTTTTTTATATTTCTGAAAGGTCTCTTATGCTCACCAAACCTGCATTTATTTGATCAAAATACAATAATATTATGAAATAGAATTACAACTTAAAATAACTGTTTTCTATGTATGTATATTTAAAATGTAATTTATTCCTGTGATGCAAAGCTGAATTTTCAGTTAGTGCAGTTACAGTGTTGCGCCACAAGGTGGTGGAAAGGGACTGTCATTCAACTACACGCTCAAAAACGCTGATTCATTCATTCAAAGAGACGTAATGAAACACGCTGTTGAAATCATTTTAACTTTGAGCGCCACTTTAGAAGGCTCAGCTGACCAGCTATGTGTCGATGCTAAGAAAAAGATTTTGCTTTTTTTGGACATGACAACCTATTTTCACAAATATATATGACTCGGCCTGGAGGACAGACCAGCAGCAGTTTTAACATTAAGTGACATGACGCAAGTAATCGCACGTGCTCAGTCGATCTCTCTCTCATTCACTGTCTGTTTAGGCTTGTTAAGTGCAAATCTACGGAGCCTCTGTACAAATCAGAATGGTACACATTATGTTATCATTACTAACTTGTTTAATATTCAGTCCACATGCATGAAGTGTAAAACGAGAAGGGCATATAACCTTACGAAAAAATAAAACACGCAAAAATCGCGGTTGCTGCGGTTTGCTCGTCAATAGCGCGGTATTGCGATATTGCGGTTATCGCGACAGCCCTATCCTTCAGAAATCATTTTAATATGCTGATTTGCTGCTCAAGAAACATTCCTTATTATCAATGTTGAAAACAGTTGTTCGGCTTCATATTCTTGATCTTCTTACTAAACCCTAAGTTCTCTTTAGAATAAACCTTTGCGTGTGTGTTTAGGTGAATGCTGTGGACACACTGGGACAGACAGCCCTGCACAGGGCGGCCCTCGCCGGTCACATCCAGACTTGCAGACTATTGCTAAGTTACGGTGCTGACCCATCAATCATTTCACTGCAGGGCTTCACTGCGTCACAGATGGGCAATGAAGCCATACAGCAAATAGTCAATGGTACCATTACAGTTTTACATCTATTACTCTTGAGTCTTATTACAGTATGGTTAAAGAATTAACTGTCCATTTATCCTAACAACACGATGTCCTGAATTTATCTGCATTTATTTCTCCAGAGAGCATTCCTCCTCGTAATTCAGACGTGGATTACCGCTTTCTCGAGTCTGCTAAAGCCGGTGACCTTGACACAATCAAGGTAAATAACAGTTTCAGAGTTTAGCGAGTTTAAAGTCAACGTGGTCCAAATCTGTTTCACTTTTGCAGTGTGACAAAATAGGACATTTAATGATGATAAGATACATTAAAAGGGACTTAATCTGTTCTAAAGATTTAAAATCAATCAGGAAATCAATAAATATTTATTTATTTGATGGCAATTTGTTTGTGTGTCTTCCGTAGCAACTGTGCTCCCCTCAGAACGTGAACTGTCGTGATCTGGAGGGCCGTCACTCCACCCCGCTGCATTTTGCTGCAGGGTACAACCGTGTGGCCGTCGTGGAATACCTGTTGCATCATGGGGCCGACGTGCACGCTAAAGATAAAGGGTGCGGTCATCATCTCAATTAGGGTGACTACCATTGAGCATTATCTGACTTGCACTTGTTCTCTTTCTTTCTCTTTATCAGTGGTCTGGTTCCTTTGCACAACGCGTGTTCATACGGTCACTACGAGGTGACAGAGTTGCTGGTGAGACATGGAGCGTCTGTGAACGTGGCGGACCTTTGGAAGTTCACACCACTACATGAGGCTGCAGCCAAGGGCAAATATGAGATCTGCAAACTACTGCTCAAGGTTCGATACTTCAGATGGAGAAATCATGCACATGTTGGGATAATTATGAATGTCATGATTGTGTGGGAATTTTATATAATATTAATGATGTTTAGTGTTATAACGAGTTATAATTATGCACTGATCGTTTATTACTGCACCAAAATTTAGAATTTTAGATACATTGGGCTGAAATCCAAAAGTAAAAAGTTAAACTTTTTGGAATTCATAAAAATTATTTTTTGAGAAAAAAATATATTAAATATATATTAAATATATTACAAATTTTAATATATTATAAATTACATATTTGTCATTACTCCAGTTTTCAGTGTCACATGATCCTTCAGAAATCTTTCTAATATGCTGATTTGCTGCTCAAGAAACATTGCTGTTCATTATCAATGTTGAAAACAGTTCATATTCAGACTACTTCATATTTTGTCATTAATAATGCTTCTGTAATTGCCTTCTCTCGTTCTGTCCAGCATGTGGATATCGCCGCCCTCCTGATCAAGTTTAACACATGCGTGAATGCGACAGATAAGTGGGCGTTCACACCGCTGCATGAAGCTGCGCAGAAGGGCCGCACACAGTTGTGTGCACTGCTGCTGGCACACGGTGCTGACCCCACCATGAAGAACCAGGAGGGACAGACGGCTCTGGACCTGGCCACGGTAAACAGCACCACAGCAGCTGATAACACTGTAGTTAAGAAAAGATAGAAGCTTACTTAAATTGAATCCTGACATATGAAATAATAGTAAAATAATTTTAATAATTTAATAGTTTTTTTTTTTTTTTTTTTAAGTTTGAGCCTTTAGACAAAATATTAAAGTTTGTGCATGTGCTTTTTGTTGAGTATTTGAAACATCAGGCTTTTATGGCTTATATAGCATGATATAGTGAGAAAATTGAGGAGGAAAAAACGCCTCGGTTTTATTCAGAGGCTCAAACGGAGCAAAAATATGTAATTTGATGCAGATGCTGATCTTTATATGGCCAGAAAGTAAGATTAAATTTCTGATAGCTTGTGATGTAAATCAATGAGATTTTTATGAAAGTATAACAGACTACTTACATAAAAAGCATATAAATGTCATTCATCACTCTATATCTCCCAATAATATGTCTTAGTAAAATTAAAGTGTGATTAAAGCTCTGTAGTTTTTTTTTAGTTTTTTTTTATGAGACAAAACGTAATGCAATGCAATGATTATTGAGAGATGGATAAATAAATATTCCTTAAAAGTCTGATATGATTTTTCTAAAAAATGATGTATGGATAATCAACTTTATAAATATTCGTATTAAATTACTTTATAAAAATGAAAATTTTACAGCAAAAAGACATGAATCACAACCTGAAGGGGGTTTGTTTTTACAGTTATACTAAAGGGCTTTTTACTTGCTAAGATAGTATAAACTATAAGATTATATAGAACAGGTTTTTCATGTTGATAATTAAGAGGCCTTAGAAATTCTGATACAGTAGGCTAAAATAAGAGATTGATCTCAGAAGATAAAATTTATAGCATTGCAATGAAAATGTTGAAAAAGTCTGAAAATGAATTATTTTGCAGTACTTTTAACTTCAGCATATGACGTGTTTCTGAAATAATTAATTTAAAAATATAGCGATTTAATTATATCCATTGAGCATTGAATTGTGGAAACTTAGGCTGTAATATTATTGGTTAAATTGGTTCTGTGTTGATTGTAGTATGAAGTTCATTGTCATTCATCTGCTATTTGTGTTTAACAGGCTGATGACATCCGTGCGCTGCTGATGGACGCGATGCCCCCTGATGCCCTGCCCAGCTGTTTCAAACCACAGGCCACCGTGCTCAGCGCCGCTCTCATATCACCCGCCTCCACACCCTCCTGCCTCTCCGCTGCCTCCAGCATCGATAACCTGGCAGGGCCCCTCTGCGACGGGGCCAGTGGAGGGGCTACGGGACCTGCTGATGGGGCCTCCGGAACTGAGTGCAAGGAAGGAGATGGTGAAAAACAAAAGAACCGTCTCAGAGTTATTTATTTAGGAATCGGGCTACTTTGATCACGCTGTGTGGCTTTGATTCTCTTAAAAGAACCGGCTCATAAGAATCATTTGTTTATGAATCAGACTACACTGATTGTGGTGTATGGCCTTGATTCACTTAGAAGAACATTCTCATAAGAGTCATTTGTTTACTGTCACTATACTGATTGCTGTGAATGATTTTGATTCATTATGAAGAACATTATGAGTGATTTGTTCAGGAATCAGGCTACATTGATCGATTCACTAAAGAACAGCCTCATACGAGTCATTTGTTTGGGAATCAGACTACAGACTACATTTTTTCCAACTGTTCAATGTGATGTTCTTTTCAGTTGTCATCTTGTCCAGCATATTTTTGTTATTCTTAATTTGTTAAAATTGTATTGCTTTGTAGCTGTCCTGGATATGAACATTTCACAATTCCTGAAGAGTCTGGGGCTTGAACATTTGAGGGACATCTTCGAGAGAGAACAGGTGAGAAAATGTTATACATCTTTGAACTTCTGGATTTCTTCTGGCACAATGTTTAAAGTTTTCATGTTTTTAATGCCGTGTCCATTAGATCACTCTGGACGTGTTGGCCGATATGGGTCACGAGGAACTCAAGGAGATCGGCATCAATGCTTACGGACACCGTCACAAGCTCATCAAAGGCATCGAGAGGCTGCTGGGAGGACAGCAAGGTGAATGTCTCTCTCATAAAACTGCTCCTAAATGCTGCTCCTGTATATTTTCATTACATTTGAATCCTGTTCTCTGTAACACACAGGTGCCAACCCATACCTGACGTTCCACTGCACCAATCAGGGCACAGTTTTGATCGACCTGGCTGTGGATGATAAAGAGTTTCAGTCTGTTGAGGAAGAGGTACAAACATGAACGCTTGGAGCTCTGGGCTGTTTCATACACCCATCTGCTTCGGCTGTGTGTGATGAGTGTTTGTTTTTTTGTCACAGATGCAAAGCACAGTTCGAGAGCACAGGGACGGAGGAAACGCAGGTGGCGTTTTCAGTCGATACAATATTCTCAAGGTAAAACACACCAAATGCATACAACATTAGTGATATTTAACTCTTCTAAAATAGGTATTGAGGTCCAAAAGGTTTACTTAAAACATACTGTATGATAATATGTAGTCTTGATAGATGTTATAGCATCATATTTGTATGGATATCTTTAGCATGTCTGTTCAGCTCTAAACAAAATCTAACTGAAATCGTCATGCAGATCCAGAAGGTGGTGAATAAGAAACTGAGAGAGCGATACACACACAGGCAGAAAGAGATCGGAGATGAGAATCACAACCACCACAATGAACGAATGCTGTTTCATGGTAAGTGCTGAAATGGCACTAATGCAAATGCTTCTCTTAAAAATGCTAGACAGATTAAAGGTCAAATTCATACTTTTATTTGAGAAAGATGCATTAAATTGATCAAAAATAGCAGTAAAGACATTTATAAAGTTACGAAGCATTTCCATTTCAAATAAATGCCATTCTTTTGAACTTCATATTCATCAAAGAATCCTGAAAAAAATGTATCATGGTTTCTACAAAAATATGAAGCAGCACAACTGTTTTCAACATTAGGCGCGTTTCCATTACAGATTTGTGCAAAACTTTGGCGATATTTTATAAATGTCGATAAAAAAGTATTGCGAAATGACTGCGTTTCCATTAACCAATGTTATGCGACTAAAACGTAACCTTTTGCCTCTCACGATAAGTCATGGCAACGGATTTTGGCTATATTTATTCAAAGGAGGCTTTTGCGTGTATCTTTACAGAAGCAGCAAAGAGAGCCGCTTCAGAAACGTGCGTGGCGCGGCTGCAATAAACCATAGACTGTATAAAAACATAAACACAAGCACTGAGTGGCCGCAATCAGCTTCAGTGACTGTATCAGAGCCACACTACACCGCAGACGTGTGCAGTGTAAATTGTCTAAGCATTAATGGTAGGAAAGCCCCTTATACTGGAGAGCGGCCACGTATGATGTGTTTCTTGGAGGTTATAGTACATTGAAGAATGATCATATGACTTTTTACATACGCCATGTGACCTGTAAATGCTGAAAAAAACGTTTCCGTTGTAGTTTTGCGAATTATCACTTTTTCGCATTGCCTGAAAATCCACCCCATGCGACCGTAAAAAGTTTTTTGCGATATATGGGAGTTTTTGCGAAATTGACGCGTTTCCATTAAGCGTATTTTCAATTCGCACTTTCAATTTGCGCAATTTGAAGGGTAATGGAAACGCGCCTACTGACAGGCAGAGAGCCACAGAAGTGAAGCCCTCCCTCCCTTTCCAGTTGTGCTCGTCTTGGTGTGGAGGTGAGTGGTGATGAACTAAAGACCAAGCTACCTGTGCCTCGAATTTACAGCTAATTATCCAAAAGGCAAATATAGTTAATTTGTCTTGCTAACGTCCATGACTCATGAGCTACCAACATATTAGAATGATTTCTGAAGGATCATGTGACACTGAAGACTGGAGTAATGATGCCGAAAATTCAGCTTTGATCACAGGAATAAATTACATTTTATATATATATATATATATATATTCAAATATACATATTCAAATATACAACTTTTTCATAATATTCCTGTTTTTATTGTATTTTTGATCAAAAAACGCAGTCTTGGTGAACTTTCAAGATCCAGGAATGCTTAAAATGCTTTTTTTCTTAATTATTTAGTATTAGTAAGCTGTTAGTTTTAGTTTTCTTCCCACAAACTGTAGCATCTGCCTATACAAATTAATCTGCAAGTTTAAGTTCAAAGTTTTATTAATGAGCAAGAGGGTGGCTAACCGCACACTGATCCACTCAAGACTAAAAAGTCTACAAAAACATCTATTTAATTAATAAATTGCAGTGTGCAAAAGTGCAAAGTGCATGTGAGTTAAAAAAATGGACACGAGCAAGCAAGCAAACGTTTCAGCACATTGCTATCTTCAGTGCTCCCTTAACAAACAACAGTCACCCTTTTTAAGTAGGTCAACAATTAAAGACAATCAGCTGAATTCAATTATCTCAGGTAAACCTCAATTAATCACAAGCAGAATTCCAAGAAAGTTTGATCATTCACATATATAGCAGAAATTTACAAGTATACAACTTCAAAGAATGACCAAACATTACAAATACAACTAACACAGCTGGAGAGAGAGAAGATAAAGCAATAACGACAATACCAATTTTTACAAAAAACGAGAGTTCTAGTTCTTCATTCATACCCTCAGGAAATAAAGATTTAAGTTCAAAGATCCAGAAAGCCTCCTTTTGCAACAACTTCTTATCTCTATCTCCGCCTCTTCTATGAGGTAGAATCCTCTCGATGCCCAGGAACTTCATGCCAGACAAAGAGTGGTTGGCAGACTTAAAGTGACGAGAAATTGAAGATGTATCATCCTGTCTCCTAATGGCACTTGTGTGTTCAATCATTCTTGTGCGTAATGCACTCTTGCTCATTTTCAAATATCCTACTGGCTCTACGCACCTGCAGTACAAGGAACAATTTTTTTATTTTTTTGGAGAGCTACAATTTTCTCGAGTTTTAAAGTTTTATTAATGAAATACACAACAACACTTTTTGTCAATTAAATGTGCTAAAAATGTGCCATTGCTGCTATATTTAGCTCTGAATTGCTTTTTATGTTCATACTGTAGTTTTTGTTAAATTTATCATAATCCTGAACCTTTTTTGCCATTGTTATTTTCAGGATCTCCGTTCATAAATGCCATCATCCATAAAGGATTTGATGAGCGTCATGCATATATCGGTGGCATGTTTGGAGCTGGCATATATTTTGCAGAGAATTCCTCTAAGAGTAACCAGTATGTCTATGGCATCGGAGGCGGCACTGGCTGCCCCACTCACAAAGACCGGTCCTGTTACCTGTGCCACAGGTACATGAACACACCTGATACAATAAGAAATGAAACATAAGCGGTGCGTTATGCGTTATTGCACTAGATGGTTTTCATATTCTCCTCTGTGTTGATTTCCCAAAGGCAAATGTTGTTCTGCCGTGTGACACTGGGAAAGTCCTTCCTGCAGTTCAGCGCCATGAAGATGGCCCACGCTCCCCCTGGACATCATTCTGTGATCGGCCGTCCCAGTGTCAACGGCCTGGCCTACGCCGAGTACGTGATCTACCGCGGAGAACAGGTACGGCTGTAAAAGAAAAATTGCTTCTTAAAATGCATCCTGTTTTAAAGCATCACTGCTACAGCTATAGTCAGGTCAGCCTTTATTTAATAAAGCACTTTATACAATGCAGATTGTTTCAAAGCAGCTTCACAGTAATAAACAGGAAAATAACAGAATTAGTGATGCAAACTTCATGAAATCTCTCTAAATATCTCTAAAATAGTGTTTTTTTTATTTTATTTTAAATGGTTAAATTAAAGTAATCAAAAAGCATGTCTAATTTATTTGAAATACATTAATTTAACTACAGTTTATTTAAAAAAAAAAAAATATATATATATATATTTTTTAGGTCCCTGTGAAATTATTTTTTCCCAAATTCTGTTTTATTATTTTTTATGGATTCTGTTGTAATGGTTAAATTAATCAAAAAGCATGTCTAATAAATTGAAATCAAAAGGCTTATACAATTGAACAACAATTAATTAAAAAAAAAAAAAACTTAACAAAAAATCTAATTCTTAGGGCTATATGAAATAATTTTTATTTTTTCCCAAATTCTTTTTTATTTTTCTCAAAATGTTTTATTTTTTTGGATTCTGAAAAATTCTCATCCAAATTTAACTTAAATTTAACACATTTAACAACTTCGGTGACAGTCTACGTTATACAGTAAATTCTTTTTTTTTTTTTTGACTGGATTCCGTCTGCGTTTTTCTGAATTGCAGAAATCATAAGCTCAATCTAAGCTCAAGTCAGTTCAGTGTTGATTCAGATTCGGTTCAATAACTATGCAGAGTTCATGAATTATGAAATGAGTTAAATTCAGATGTAAGCAGCTCTACAAAGATAACGGTGTCATTATTCAACTCATGTCAGTTCAATGTTGTTTCAGTACAATAACAGTGTTGATGTTACAAAATTTGGCAGTTATGAACAAATTTGATTCAGCTATAAAGAAGAAGCTCTACAGAAGACAGTCATGTCATTATTCAGCTCAATTCAGTTTAAGTTTTGTTTCGTTCTCATCTGATAGTGTTTGTGTCCAATGCACAGCACCCTTATGAAAGAGACTGCAGGCTGTGATGAATTAGTGTGACTGTGTTGTGTTAATGTGTGTTGTTGTTTTCCAGGCCTACCCAGAGTATCTCATCAACTATCAGATAGTGAAGCCGGAAAGCACGCCTCAGTCCTCCACAGAAGCAGAGCAGAAATCATAGTCAGACACTGCGTTTCTACATTGACTCACTCACTCACTCATTGTTTCTCACTCTCTTGTTGCACAATGGAAATGTGAACTTTCCCATGTACCCACGTCTTGGAATTCCCATGTATGAATTATGAATTTGCACTTTTAAAAACAAGTTACTTAAGTTATTTGAAAATAGTTGCAATTGTGAAGTCTAATGTACAGGTAGTATAAAGAAAACATGTAAAACTGACTGTGTTTAATGATGCTATTTGAGTTGTATTTTAATGGAACTTTTTCGTTTTGTTTTGAGTCTGTTCATTTCTTTTAAATAAATCTCATCAGAACAGGACTCATTCATATGACTTGCTTTTGATTGTTTATTCATATGGAATGTTATTGCCTTTATTATGTAGTCTCTGCATTTTAAGGTGGAATTGCAAAGGGGAGTAAAAATAATAGTTGATGCATATAATACGCTACCATTTAAATGTTTTAAAGTTTTCAATATTTTTGAAAGAAGATTCTTATTCACACCCGGGCTGCAATTTGTTGATCAAAAATACAGTAAAAAAAAATTCTGAATTACAATTTTTCTATTTTGAGATTTTAAAATCTAATGTATTTCTGTGATGCAAAGCTGAATTTTCAGCAGCCATTACTCCAGTGTAAAGTGTCACATGATCCTTAAGAAATCATTCTAATATGCTGATTTATTTTTAGAATTATCAATGTTGGCAACAGTGTGTAACAGTAACAAAATATTTTTTTGGAAACGCAGATACTTTTTTCAGGATTCTTTGATGAATAAAATGTTAAAAATAACAGCATTTATTCAAAATATAAATCTTTTCTAACAATATAAATCTTTGCTATCACTTCTTATCAATTTAATACATCCTTGCTGAATAAAAGTTTTAATTTCTTTCAAAAAAAGCAAGAATCCAA